AATTGCTTGGGATAATCAAATATGTCATGCACGTTATAATTCTGTAATGAGAAGTGCACTGCATGTGCGACGAACTCCAATCTCACTTCCTTGTCTCCAAGATTTATGGAATAAGTCGAACATGATATTTTTAATTTAAAAAAATTAACTAACAACTAGGTTATTAAGATTTTTGGTTTATCAAATTATTTGTTTAGAAATGATTCTGTATTTTAATGAAGGTGAAATTCAAAATTAATGCTCCATGTACTATATGTACTTTATGTCCTCAACGAAATATCTCAGTGGTTCAGTTTAGGAAGGGAACGGGGAGCCCATCAAGAAACAATCATTTCTTTACTACCGACCCTTCCTTTGATGACTTTCCCTCCTCCACATCTTTCTCTCATGCATTCAATAGGATTAATTAGCCAATCTGTTAAAGTAAAGACACACTTGTCTTTTCTTGCTCTAACTCATAAGAAAGACCTCAGTTGGATTAGTTTAAACAACTTCCCCTCGTTTATCTCTTTGTATTGAAATAACTTTTGATTGCGAGCAAACTATACAGTCCACACAACCGTACTCCATATGCAGTCCCATCCTTGTCTGGTTTGTGGCTCTTTGCTCCATCCTCCAAATTTTTCAAAAGTCTTCGAACAGTCGTTATCGAGTTTTGCCTCGGCCCCCCACCATTTGGTGCATGCTTCCCACAGCCATTGGGTCACTCTGCACCTTAAAAATAGATGTGCTGAGTTCTCTTCTTGTTCTTCACATGTAATGCATTTGCTCTGACCTTAAAAATATTCATATTGCATGTGTTGATGGATACTGAACGGTTATGGATAGGTGGTTAAATGGGAACCATAAACTTTTGAATTCGAAATGCGTGAAAATTATACAAAAATAGCTATATATGAATGTAGAAGGCTAGTCTTTAAGATAGGCACTTAAACAACAAGAGTAATTTATTTTAGAACCTAATTTGGACATCAAGGAGTTGGGCGTCACACCACCAACTGGGAAGATGAATTTATTAAGTTGGAAAGAGGTTTTTTTTTTTTTTTTTTTTAATACTAAATTCCTTTGATGTCTGAAAATTGTATTAGATTTTAACTAATTCGAAATTGAAACACATTAGATCTTTTAAGAAAGAAAACTCTTTTAATGTTTTTTTTTTTTCCAAAAGACTTAAACTTAACATTTTATTTTAAAAAAATCAAATTATTTTAATTTAAATCAATAAGTTATTGGTGAAAAGAAATTTTTTTATTGGTGTTAAATATGAAGAAAGAGAAGGTAAGCAGTTAAGAACTTAACCATTAAGGTTTTAAGTTTGAATTTTGAAATAAATTAAAGGGCTTGTTTAATTTTTGCTCTTATAACATAGGTTAAATGTGTTATAATTACATTTTTTTTACAATTAATTTAAATAAAAAATATAAAATTTGATCCTTATTTTAATATTATTGTCAAGTGAATGATTTTAATTAGTCAATTAATTAAATTAAAATCAACATTTATATTTTTTTACCCAAATTAATTATAAAATGATATATTTATTATATTTTTAACTTAAATTTTCAGAAACTTATTAAAAAAATTATAAAATAAATGAGGAGAAATTTGGAAGGGGCTATTCCTCTCATGTGGCCTATTATTATTTGAAGTATTAAAAAATAAAGGGTGTGCTATTTTACATTTTAAATTACATTAGACTGTAAATAAAGACGTTTAATTAAGAGAAAACTCTCAAGATTCTTCAACGTGTCTCTTATTTAAAAATTTATATTTTACAATTTAATATATGTTGAATTACAAATCAGTTTTTTCAAATAAAAAAAAAATCTCAGAACAAATCCCATATAAAATTCAATCAAAGTTACTTGAGATTGGATTGTGGGCTCCAGTCTAGTCACCCGTAATGGAGCTTTAGTCTATTATTAATCTCCCAAGATAATTGGGCCTATATCTAGTAGATTGGATTGGTACCACTACTAGCATGTAGCGTCTTAGTATAGTAGTTGGGCTTAAATATAGTACAAGGCTGATCCAACAAGCTTTTAATCAATGTCATCTCAAATATTTATTCATGGACCCATCCATCGTCATCCCACTACAAATAATCAAAACTTGTCACCGTACCCGTACAAGTCCATTGAACCATTTTAATCTAATTCAATTTGGATAATTAAAAATGCCCAAATGAGTCTGCTTTTGATCAAGATGGGAATTAGGAATTTCATCATCAAATCATTGTACTTTTTTCTGCCTTTAATTTTGGCTAAAGAACCAAGCATTGTACGGTTAAGTGTTCGCGTTCTCAAAGCAATAAAAGAATTGTAAGTTCCTTTGTTTTTGCATGGAAAGATCCTGCGCAATTTATAAACATGTGGTGCCCAATGCCAATGCATCCTTTGGCTAATAGTAAACAAGTCCTCATAATCTCGAGATTACAGGTTTGAATATTGTTATGTAGCTTTACGTCAAAGTGTTTTTGGATTTTGAGTTATTGTATTTGTACTTTATAAAAAAAGTGTTAACTACAATGTATATACATGTATTTCACATAAAAAAAAATTTATAAACATGTAGCTATATACATTTTGTAATATTCAACCCATCTACTTAAATTAATTTGCCCTAACTTTTTTCCCTATAGAATGTACGAAAGGATGAAACCCACCTTCCTATCTTGTGGTGGGCTTAGCGCACTAAATCCTTTAGTTTTTTTTTTTTTTTCTTTCATCTTTCTGGCATGCATGAAAACACCCCTTTTTCCCACTAATATTTGTTGTATTGGAAAATCCTTATTGTTTTAGGTGGGGATTTGTGTCATCCACTCATTAAAGATTTTCTTCTTCTCATTTTATAGTTGAATTGAAAAAAGAAATTAAATTTAGTTAACCTTGTCAATCCCACATTGGTGGGGCGGTTTTCCCTGTCAAGTGTCAAGTTTGTTGTTGGTAGTAGTATTCATCAATCATTAGAGGATCTGTTTGGCAAAAAAGCCTAATAACCCAAATGGGAAATAAAATACAACATTTCATTAGGTTAGATTTCTCTCTCTCTCTCTCTTTCCGTTTTTCCTTTCTTCTTCTTCTTC